GGACTTCTGTGTTATCATTAAACAACATGACACAAAATAACTTTACAGTTAGCTGCTATTCTTGAACATTGGGTTGCATAGCTCCAAACATAGGCAATCAGTGCCTTAAATGAAGGGGAATCTGCATACAGCCACAGAGTTCCTGGGCAGGTCACGGGCTTATCTTCTGGGGATGTCTTCAAGGGGACTTCTACTGCTTCACCTTTGCACTAACCTTGATCCATGTCATGAAACCAGAACGAGTAAATAGAAAAAGGACTCTTATAAGAAATCCTGTGTATTACATCTGTATTACATACCGGAGTTGCTATGGACAGCTTTCTGCTCTTTGATAACCTCAGTGGGACCATCATATGCACCGTCAAAAACAGAATCTAGCCAATAGATTACAAATTTAGAGAGGTCTAGGCAGGCTGGCCTAGTATGAAACAAGGTCCATGCTATCTGAGCTAAGACATATTTCCTAAGTGTTCTTTGAGAAGTCTGGATGTAGGTATCTACAATGAGCAGCAATTCTTTTAAAAGCAAGCAAGCAAAGAGCTGGTTTTCCATAAAAAAAGGAAAGGACACCTAACACACTGTGCAATAGCTGAGAATCTGAAATGAAGAATGTGGCTCATTTGCAAGTCCCTTTATTCTAAAATTCAGGATCGGGATACTAATATTTAATGTTTACTCCACATTATATCTGAAAGTCACTAACTGTCAGGGGAGTTAAGCACTGAAATAAATTGCCTAGAGAGATTTAGGAATCTCCAAGAATGGAGATTTTTAAGAACAGGTTAGACAAACTCCTGTTAGGGATGATATAGAGCAGGGGCAGGTCCACTGACCCACAGAAAAACCAGTCCACACACAAGTGAAAAGAAAAAAAAAACCCAGTCCTCAATGAAGTGGCTCCCAACAGAGGAGAAAGACACTCTCCATATTCCCCCTGCCCACCAGAGCCTAGGAAGGCCCAGCCTCATAGATTTTGTGTGTTCCAGCCCTGTGATAGGAAAGAAGCGGGGGCTGGAGCACCAGCACAGGATCACCAAAGCTGGATGTGGGGTGCTGAGCTTCAGGGGCCAGACTCAGGCAAGCTGGGGCTGCATTCGGCCCCTGGGCCTTAGGTTCCCCACCCCTGATCTAGATGGTGTTGGGTTCTGCCATGAGTGCCTAAGACTGGACTTGATGACCTCTCGAGGTTCCTTCCAGTCCTGTGATACTATGATTATATGCAAGTATAACTAATTCAAAAGCAGAAATCACTCTTCTGAAACACGAATGTGCAACACTCATTAGATTGCTAGGCTGCTTACTTGTTTTAAGAAGCCTCACACTTCTCCTCCTCACCCCATGGGTCTAAGCTTGCTGTCTTACAGTTCTTATGGGAGATTTTCTTTTCAACTTTCTCCCTTTTGCAGTTCTGTATATTTAGTTATATCCCACTGTTTCCATGGCATTTTGTCTAATACATTCTGTAATAATCTCCAATAAATACACATCCTTAGAAGAGTTCTTGTGGTGGTTTTTGCTCATTTTATCATTCCATTCTGACAGTATTCGTTACTTACTGATAATCAGCCACATTTCTCTTTTAATCCTATCCTGTCATTAATGTTTTAATATTAAATTGTCAGGTGCAAAAACATGCTATTGCATATTTCTTTTCAATATTTCACCACAGTAGATCAGATAAACATGGGAAAGTTGTTCTTGTATTTGATACCTTTGTTAGCATACATTTTCCCCTCAAAATATTGATCGCTAGTGGAAAACAGCTCAATAATCCTGTTATATCTTAGCATCCTATTCATCAGCACTGGGAATCCAAGACTTTGAGGTTAATCGATATTCACCATTTCAGTTCATGGCCATATTATCATTGAATTGATCATGAAGAGAATGCAAAGCAATTGTCTCGTAAAACATCACTTTTTTAAAAAAGCTGCCATGATTAAATTACTGCTAAAATACTGAGATAGTAAACAGCAAACTCTACAATCTTTCTAGTAAAACTAGACTAACGTTCCCTGCCTTTCTCACTGAGAGTGAGGAATTATTGAGGAAAAACTGTAATTAAATACAGACTCTATATTTAATTTGCACAGTGACACCCTCAAGAATCAGATTTTCTGAAGTATTTTCCATGATATGGCAAGATAAGCTAAACAACCTTTTAATGAACATCAGTTTCTATGGATAGTTTTTACTTGCTTTGTGACTGCATGCGATTTTTTTTTCCAGATATGATCAAGGCCATAATAAATGTACTAAGTCTTCATTTTTAATGGCTTCTTGCACTGGTTCTATACAAAATAAGTATCGTATCTAATGGCTTATTAGGCCAGCCCACCATATATAGCTCATAAGAATGTGGTTCCAGCTTTTATTCTTCCAGGGACATAATCGGGATGGACTTAATGGAGAAACAAGCCACAAACAGGAACGAATGGTGATATTGGTGTAATGCTCTCCAGGTCTGTAAAGATGCTTTGGGATGAGAACAAGATCATTAATGGATGAAGCTTCATCAATTAAAAAAGTCAAAAGTCCTACAAGAAAAAAATGTTGAGGCTCAGCTGATCAGTAAAAAAAAGCTACGTCTAGACTGCAACCCTATTTTGAAAGAGGCTTTTTCGAAAAGATACTTTCGAAAAAGCCTCTTTTGAAAAAGAGCATCTAGACTACAATCAGTACTTTAAAAAAAAAGCACAGTTTGCATTACATAGCACCTTGTTTCGAAAAAGCACTTTTGAAAAAAGGCGTGATTTCTCGTAAAATGAGGTTTTCTGTGGTCGAAAAAACTGCAGCATTCTTTTGATTTACTTACGAAAGAACGTGGCAGCAGTCTAGATGCAGAGGAAGTTTTTTTCAAAAAAAGGCCACTTTTTAAAAAAACATCCTGTAGTCTAGACACACCCAAAACTATTATCTTCCTTCAGCCATTAGAAGGACAGATGTTGACGTCAGCAGCTTGCCTAACTAGGTAGATTGTTTCTGTGTACTGTGTAGCCATTATGGCTCCAGGAACAGTATTTCCCTCTACAATAATAGGAAAGAGGCGGCAGAATAATATATTTCTTTCTAGATTTCAGAATTACCAGCAAAACTGAGCCATCCAAAGATACTGTGATTTTCCAAAGGGGTAAGAATCAGGCTATTAAGAGACAAGTCCTGTTGGTGAATTTTTTGAAGTAGTTCTGAATGGGTAATCGAGAATGAAGGAACTTTTAATAATATTAAAATAACTTAATAATCTATTTTATGATGAAGAGAAATTAAATAGAATCCCACATCATTATATGTTTGGTAATTTTAATTCTTTTTTCCATTTTAACAGGTTTCAATAATAATAAAGATATTTATAGTAGTTTATGGGCTCAATCCTATTCTTTAATGCAGACCACAAATCACATCATCAGCTACTGTACGGTATTTGTGTTGGGTATGTACAGGCAGGTCCTTGTGCTCAGTAGTGGTCTCTATGGAGCAGGTTTCCACCTATGAAGATCAGATAGTTGGATCACGGCTCTCATGGGGCAATGTAAAAAAATGGACTAAAGTGGATTTAAAACGATACCGATATCACTGAACAAAGCAAATGATCGCTTAAAAATACTACATTTCTGTACCAAATTAGTCTAGTTTCATATAATCTCAAAAGCATCAATGAGGAACAAAACCATTGGAACAACATATTTACGACTGACAGAAAGTTGTATTTAGAACACAGGATACATAGAAACAAAGAATTCCATTTCTGTCAGCATTATGTGTATCTAAATTGGAGAGTGGTTACCTGAATGGAGAACTTACAAACTTAACTCATTTCAACACAGACTACAGCAAAGTGTAAAAACATCCTTGATATGCAATGTACTGACAAATGGCTCTGATTATCGTCCCCTTGCTGCAATACTCAGCAGCTGAACTTGCACATCCTATGCATGTACGTTATTTCCTTGAGCATATAATAGCAGATATATTCAGTGATTATCCACATTATACATTTCGTTTATAGTACATCAATGTGCACTTTCCATGTCATACAGTCTCTATACAGCATATGGTTTTCTTTGGTTTCTTACCTACTATTGGCTAGAAAATGTCAGCTTGCTACTCTAAAATCCTGGCTTCACTGAAATCAATGGTAGAACTCCCATCATTGATTTCAATGGGACCAGGGTTTCACACCTACACTCCAGTTTGTGAATTTAAATAAAGTCAATGGGATTCTTTAAAGCAAAAGGGATCTTTGCTGCCTCAGTAGATACTTTCAGTGCATACTGTAGCTGTTTTGTGGGGCCCTAACTAGAAAATTCAATTATCTGCATGACAGTTTGCAGTTTTCCATCAGCAAAGTAAATTTTCTGTAGACACAGCAATTCATATAGTTATTTTCATAAACATACAGTTTAACTTCAATATATACATAAATATATTTGGCATACAGCAAAGAGTTTACTATATGATGTGTGTGTCTGTGTATACAAGCTTTCACACTGTGAGAGCTTCCAAATGTTGTCTATAGTATGTTTGTACCAGGTATGCCTATTAAAATATGGGAATCAATTGCATGCATCATTTAAAACAAACACAATCAATGTACCTCAAGATCTTTTACTCCATAAATAACTTCACCACTGGAGGATAATCACAACAGAACAAATAGATTATGACACTCAAAACCAAATTTTTTTATAGCAAATAGAATTTTCTTTTAAAAAACTCAAGTCAACATTATGCCACAATGCCAAGAAATTCTGATTTCTTGTCTGGTGTAAAACAAAAACACATGTTAATTTCCCTGGGAGCAAGCTAAAAAAAGCCAGAGCTGTCTCAAAGCTTCAAGTCACACCTAATCATGAGGATGCATCAGTGCTAAATGTGCAATACATTAATTATAGTGGAGAGATGAAATATTATTGAGCTACAATCAACATCAAGGAACCTTTGAGCATTATAGAAAACACAGAAACCATACCCAATAGGGAAAGTAAGCCACAATAGCCTACCTGAGACAAGTGAGACTGTGTCTTTCTCCCAAGAGACAACAGTGATGTATGCCTCCACAGAGGAGGGGATAATGCACTTGAAGACCGCTACATTGCCTCTCATGGCTTTCTGGTCCTCCACACGGACTGTATAGGGTTCCCGTAAAACTAAAATGAAAGAATAGTGAGACTTTGTTAATAAGTGAGATGGTCAGGGCAAGATAGAATTCAACAGAAAGAAGTCCTGTCCGGAAGAACAGGTGGGTGTCATTTACCCATGGACTGAATGTAGACACCACATTTCCTTGGCCTGCAAAAATAGCAATCAGAAGATGATCTCATGCCCATTAACCCTTTCACTTTCATGTGCCGCATGGCCCCCTTAGTCAGTGTCACAAATCCCAAAAGGTGGGATCATGCCCTTTTCCAGTTCTTGCTTTGATCTTGCACAATTCACCCAGGATGAAAAAAATAAGAAAATATGATTAGATTTTCCTCATCCTAATGGCAAGATAAGAGAGTAAATGTTGTGTTTGAGCAGGAAAATATGTGATAATGTTACACAGCTGATCAGAAGGGTCTCCCTAAAAGAACTTTAAGACCCTCTTGCGTACTCTAATGCTATATTGTACCCCATCACATTTCAATGTTCATCCTTCAGTTAATTCTAGGTGCAAGGGGAAAACCATTTCCCAAGAGAAACAGAGACTCCACATGAGAAAAACAACACACACTTGCATGCTGGCTTGCTTAGGTTCTTACACCACACTTCCTGCACCAGCTGAGCATTCTACTTTACCAGAGAGAGAACAGGACCCCCCCAGTAATACTGGAAGCTTCCCACATAGAGGGTCTGTTGAATTAAGCTGGCAACCTTCTCCTGGTGTGAGGTTAAGGTGGAAACCCAGAAAGATGGAAGAGAGAGGAATTGAGGATGGAGAATGAGAAGAGTTGAACATGCTAACCAGAGAATCAATAGAGGTGAATGAGAGGGAAGGAAGGAGTGTGCTCAGACTTGCAGAGAAATGTTGAAGGTCTCAAAGATTGAGCAGGAAAGCGGGGCCAGAGATGGAGCAGGTTATACTGAAATAAATAGGTCAGTGATCAGAAAAGGGAAACTAAAAGATTAGGTACATTAGCAGGAACAAGTATACTAATGATTCTGCTGGTACCTGGGAGAATTGGTCTAGAGAAAAAAGGAAGACGGCAGGGAGTGGAAAATAAAAGAGGCAATAGCATCTACCAAGTTAGTACAACAGCTGAGCATTTTGGGGTAGAGGGTGGAATATAAATGGGAGAAGAGGAAATCCAGGCACTGTAATCAATAGGAAATAGAGATGAGAATTCTCTGTGTATGGATAGTGACTAACAGGAAAGGGAGAAAAAGCTTAATGCCAGATGGAATACAGTTCAAATGTGGAAAAGGTGGGAAGTGGCATGAATGAAGGAGTAGGAGCTCAATACCACCACTGCTCCAGATCTGGTCTGGGAGAAAATAGACCACTACAAGAATGCAGCTATAGGGAGGGAGAAAGAGGAGGCCAGTTTCAGTGAATATAAAGCAATGAAAGGGGCAAGAGGCAAAATGTTCACACAGGTCTAGAAGTCATTACTGCTGAGAACAATTTCAGCACTCCATGGTGATCATATCAGAATGGGACCATTGTATAGTAACTTTCTCTAGTCCCACTGGAAAATAAAATCACTAAGAGCAAAATCTAGGTGTAAGCACATTCACTCAAGTGGGTGTAGCTATAGTAGCTTCCCAGCAGAGCCATCCCAAGCTATGGGCTGACCAGGCTATTGCCCGGGGCGCCCCTTTGTAGGGGGCACCGCACGGGGCTTCCAGACCAGGCGGGGGTGGGGCCACCCATGCGCCCGGCGCTCGGGGTGGGGCCGCGCATGCACCGGGCGCCCAGGGACCGTTGGCGCCGTGCGTCCTGGGGCAGGGCTGCGCATGTGCTGTACTCCCGGGGTGGCGCTGCACTCCCGGGGTCCGGGGCGCATGAATGGTTCGGGCCAGCCCTGCTCGCCAGTATTTGGATGCATATTTCTGGAACAAAGTAGTCATGGACTTATAAAACGGTGACCCTTTTATAACAGCTCCTTAAAAATAAAAGAGTGTATAGCCAGATTCAAATGGCAAGTTAAACATGAGCAAACAATAAAGGGTTTTAAATTACAATGCAAGCCCTCGATCATAAAGAGGATTTTTTTTTTTTTAGTTTTACATCCTGCTTAAACAATTATACAGTTCAAACGTTAAGAGGTATTAAAATAAAATATATCAAAATTAAGTATTAAGAGAACACGGTATCATTAGTCTAAAATATATTACTGATTATAAATAATGAGGCAAAGTGGCTAACTCTGGTCACAGACTTGCTGAATATTTAGAAACATATGCTCTTTTACATTAGCAACCTTATGGAACTCCTTTTCATGCAAAGAAGCCAGCTACCCTCTTCTTTCTATGCCCCAAGGAAGGGCTCACAAAACACAAGGATCTCTTTCTTTATGTGGCTAACTGTCTTCTACCTCTAATGCTGCAGGGATAGCTTGCAGCATGGGCTATTTTGAGAAGGTATCATGACAATGTTATGAACAGGGCTAGTGAACATTGGTTCACATTCTTTTCTAAACTGCTTGTACAGTTACAGAAACCTGTCATGTCATTAAAAAAAAGCCACTCCCAGGGCAATCGTTCTAACAAACAAACATAAACAAACACCTGCAAAATAGTGAAACTTGACAAAGGCTGAACTAGTCCCATTTCCTCAATCTCTTGCTGCGGAGACTTGTAGAATCTGGACCTTCACATTTTGGCATATGGGAAGGTAAAAGACACATGCTTATCGGATTTCCAAACCAACCTGTTAATCTTTCGATTTTGCAGTATCCAAGGAGGTTGAGATATCACAAAAGTAATTGTTCAATCCCAAACAGCACGAGACGGTTCTTGTTTATATGCATGTCATGATTATGAGGGTTAGCCAGCAGCCTGGGGATTAAGGGGTTAACTACACCTAGCCAGGTGGAGTGACCAATAGGAATGTAGGTGGGACTTTTCAAACTGGGACAAAGGAATTTGGGTTTTTTTCTTTTCTCCCTTTTGTCTCTCTGAGAGTTCTCTGCAGCTACAGAGAGGGACAAGCATGTCTCTCTCTCTCCAAGACACCATTCTTCATTTTCTGTAAGTAGGGTAAAGTTTAGGCAGTTTCGTTAGATTTTATTGTTTTAAGGATTGGGTATGGGATCTGAGATCTGGCACTGTGTAAAAGATGTTTTGGCTTTTCTTTGTAACTAAGTTCTAGGCCCATGGAGTTTCTCCATGAGTATATTTTGTTACCTTCCTCTCTAGTCATTATACTTGCAACCAGAATATTGTTGTAATAATAAAAGTTCTTTCTTTTCTTTTATTAACCTGGCAGTGGTTAATGGTGTGCCCTGATTTTTGTTTTAGGGGGAAGATTTCCCAAATGATCTTTCCCCTGGTTTCTTTAGCAACATTTGGGTGGTGGCAGCGGAAGTTTTATTCCCAAGATCTAGGTTTTTAAGATCTTGGGGGAAGTTTTATACCAAAGCCTGGTAGGTAAGGCTTTGGGGTACACTTGCTGGCCCCCACTTCTGCATTTATCATGCCAGAGTGGGGAAGGAGCCATGACAGCATGCACTAACATTTCTGTTTAATGCATTCACAATGTTGCCAAGACTTATGATTTTATCATGAGCCTTGTGATTTTTATTGTTTCTCTTGAAGCCCCAGATCCCAGAGTCATTTGATTACATAAGACTCTGAGTTTTCTTGAAAATAAAAGTCTAGTTTTCACAATTGCTTGGAAAAAACAAACACTTGAAAACAAGATGGAACTATATTCATTTATCCCATCTGACATTCTGTAGAGAGTTTTTCTACATTATATACAAAGCCAAAAGCTATTCAACTCAACCATCCCCTTGACACCTCCACAATCCACAAAAATCCACAGGATAGCCACTGGACAGTCTGTTTTCTTTTAGGGACTTCCTAGGATGGAATCTAGGCTTTCCTTGCCTCTCCTGGCCAATGAGGGTCTACCTTTGTGTTACACTATACCACTAGTCATGTGTCTAGCTCCAGGGAGTCCTCTGATTGGATAGGAAGGAGCACTGTGCACTTACTTGTGGAGCTAGAGAGGAGCAAAGAGCTAGTCTAGCTTTCATCGTGCTTGCAGCAGGGTTTCTCTCCACTTGCTTAGGACCAGTGGTTTGTCCTTTCCTCTGGATACTGCATTTAATTACCAAAGAGATGTAGTTTTTATGTTGACTAATTGTGGCATTGTCTTTTCTGCTGTTACCAAGCTAGAATACTGGTCAGGCATATGCTCCAGCATATTGTGCCAGAACATTTGGGACTGTATAGTTTTTTCTAGAAATTACATTTTGTCACCTCTTTGCTCTCCTCATAACATTAGTAATATTAAGATGCCACACTGATAACTGGGTCCCAAATAAGCATGTTTACTAACTACAGATTGTACCTCTCAGGTCCGACATCTTTGGGACCGGACCAGCCCCAAACCAGGACATTTGCCAGATTAGGAGAGATCAATGGCAGCCCCTGTGCTGCAGTACTCCGCTACGGCAACAGCAGAGGGGCCAGCATTGATGGAGCGAGGACTGGGGGTGTTGGGGAAAGAGGTGGGGTAGCTTCGGAGACCTACAGTCACCAGCCTGCACTCCTGGCTGCCACTGCTGCCCGCGGGGCTGCGTTCCCAGCTCTGGCTGCCAGCCACTCTGCAGCTGCCCCAATCCCACCTCTTCACCTTAGCACTCCCTATCTCTATTCCGTCTCCTCCACCCCACAGCTTGAACTCTGCAAATGAGCTATTTGCAGCACTCTGGAGGAGAAGGGGAGGAGCTGCTGAGAGCGGGCCCCCAGCATTATCCCATGAGTGCTCCAGCTCCGCAGAACTCATGGATGCCAGACAACAGAAGTTGTCAGATGAGGGAAGTCTGGATTAAAGAGGTTCAATATGTATATACAAATATACAAGGCCTCGCTATCCGTAGACACTGCTACTTCAGAAGTGTTCGGATAGCTCCTGCAATAGAAAATAGGAAGGCCCACTAGAGGGCTCCCAAACTAGGACTATCACCTATATATTGCAATATAGTATCCAGTTTCTGTAAGGATAGTAGAGAGAGGGGGTTATATCTCCCAGAATTATGGGATTGGGCATATCCCTGAGACTGAGAATCATCCGTGGAGATAGTCCGGTATCTAACTCAATGACAGCTGTAATTTATTTTAATATATTTATT